GTAGGTATGTAATTATTTTATCTCGAACTTATATATTCTTATAATTTAAATTTTCATTTATAGTCAGGGATGATTATATAGAGAAATATTATCTAAGATTTTAAGATTCATTCATCTTTCAATTAGACATCTCCATTTCCATGTGATTTTGTTATAAATTTTCTACCATAAAATTGGAAACAATAGTTTCCCTACCTTCCATATTCAATATTCTACAACTTCCAAACAAATATATAATTTGAATATTTAATAGTTGACCGTTGCATTATAAAGGAAGGAGATGGTCCGGGGTGGCGGTCATAAATAGGCTAAATAGTGGCAAAACTATTTTATTAAAAGCCAATGTTTCGACCCGACTTAGTTCTATATTTTTATTCTATATTTATATTTTACTTTTACGTACGTTTTACTTCTTCCATTTTTGTTTTTATTCACAATTTATTCTTATCTATAATCTCTTAATTCTATTTTATATGTATATGTATATATTTATAATTTAATATTTTATATAAGGATGCTATCATCCGACTCAGATCCCAACATAGCATCCTTAAATCTCCAAAACCACCTCACCTTGATTGAGCACTGGTGTAATAACTGGCGCATTAAAGTTAATGAATCTAAATGCCAACATATTACCTTTACACTCCGACGCAGTTCCTGTCCACCAGTACACTTTAATTCCATCCAGCTTCCTTACTCAGACACAGTCCGGTATCTTGGCTTTCATTTAGACCGAAGACTGACGTGGAACCCACATACTAGACTCAAAAGACAAGAACTCAACCGACGATACAGCCAGCTATACAGACTACTAAACAGAAAATCCAAACTTTCTATTGAAAACAAATTACTTATCTACAAGACAATACTGAAACCTATATGGACATACGGACTTGAACTGTGGGGTACAGCAAAAGCTTCTAACATCAAACGTATTCAATCCTTTCAATCTAAAGTCCTTCGAACAATAGTTGATGCTCCGTTCTATGTAAATAACAAAATCCTACACCATGACCTTAATATCCCATTTGTCCTAGACCTTATTCCAGAAAAATTCTCCAAATTTCACCAGAACCTTACCTATCATCCAAATCCCCTTGCACAATCTCTATCCAGCACCACCCATCCTTACAATCCTCCTCGAAGGTTGAAGCGGCAGTGGCCCAGAGACCTTTTGTAAATAAGCATCTATTGGAGTTTTGGCAATGGCCAGATCCTCCACTCAAGCCCGAGTGTGTATGATTAGGTTAGTTCTTTTGTTTATAACATTTATTTTATTTTATTGTATTTATTTTTATTTTATTTATTGTATTTATTATTATTAAGTTTCTGTATTATTTTATTTTATTTTTTTATTGTAAATAGAGTGTGAGTGTGCTTTCTCTGAACACTATTATAAATGTCCTTGATGTGACAGAATGTAATATTTCTAAATAAACAAATTAAAAAAAAAAAAAAAAAATATTTTATAGATATAGTACTTTTCCCTTGTATCCATCCATATCTTCAAATTTTAGATACTGTAATTTTCTAGGTTTTTCCTCTTTACCCAAACAAGTCAGAAAATTCCCCAATACCTGCCCTTACAATGGTTTTCCAGTTCTAAGTGAAACTCCTAGCTGAATACACCTGTAAGTCTCTATTTTTATTCTTCTAATTTTATTTATTTATTTATTGGTTTTCTTTCTCCACATTCCTTTATGTCTACTATTTCATATTATGTTTTTTTTCCTTTTCTTTCAATCTCTGCTGTAGATCTGTAGCAGTATATTCACATTTGCATATATTATATATTACACTACAATAATTGTTACCATCTATTTAGTTCAGTTTAGGATCTTGTTACTTAGGTTACGCTGTTTATATTTAGTGTACTTACTGTTTATTATTTTAATAAGGTTATTCACATTCTTTATAATTTTTTTCATATTATGTAACTTCGACAATTCTCTATCTTTTTGTATCTTGTCCGTTCTAGCCCTGAAGAAAACTCGCAAAGTCGGGTCAAAAGGTTGGCTTTTAATAAAATAGTTTAGCCACTAATTAGGCTATTTATAACTGCCACCCCGGAACATCTCCTTCCTTTAAATATATAATTTATTTTTAAATATTTAATATTATATTTACTCATTTCACAATAATTTTTACACATAGTAAGAACTACAGGGTTTTTTGCCCTACGCCCTCACCCCTCCCCAATCGAAATGGGAAGTCTACGCCAATACTTATATCTCGATTTCGATGAAAATCGATTAGTGTTTACTTTGAAAATAAACTACTCATATAATAGTAATTATATTTTGATTCGTAAAATTTAATAAGAGAACTTTTTGAAACAGTTTCAAAATATCACCTGAAAATAAAATTGAGATGTTTATTATTCCTTCATAAAGCGATGAAACTGATCTTTCGCCCTCAGATGACTAATTATCCCGGCTCGACTAGAACCTTAATAGCCTTACGTGACCGCATACCATGGTTCAGAACCTCCACAGCTGACCGCATACCATGGTTTAGGGACCCTCAGCTCAAACCTGACATGTGGAACCCCGTGATATATCGCCGGCCTATATAGCCACCCCGAAGGGTCGCGAGGATGTTGCTATGGCGACAACCCTCTCTGTAACCAAGCAGTCTCCTCCAGCTTCCAGTTTACTGCAGCGCTATCTTTTATGGTCGTAATGGTAATAAAGCTCTGATAATAAGTGTAATAATGCTTTGCTAATGGCATTGGCTCTCCTCTTGAGCTCTAAAGCATTAATATATAATGTAAAGGTACATGTACATATGCATACATGTCCCAGCATCAAATAAAATAAAAGTTGTGACCAGTGCCAACTACTGAATCTAAACTCCTTTAGTGAGTTAAAGCTATGTAGTTTATTTTCTTTATTATCTGATTTTATTTACAAAAACATAAAATGGAAGAAAAAAAATCTATACCACTAAAAACCTTGTAAACCATTGGATTCAGTACTTAAGGAAGCTATGTTATGCAGGGAGGTGATTTGGCCGAGATCAGGCTCAACCGCCTCCCCTCAATTAATTATTTAATTAAGAGTATCCAATTAAGAGAGGCTGGGTGTGCAAAAGAAGGATCTAACGATTCCAGGGTAGATCCACGATAGATATATAAAAAAGTACTAAAGTTGAGAAGACTAAAGCCAATCTAATTGGTTCCAATCTTGTTATTAATTCCATTCCATATTATCCCTCACTCTACCTCAATGGTCTGCATATTCGTTTCCATACTTCTGTCAGAAATCTCGGCCTAATTTTCGATCAATATCTGTCTATTTTGATCCCAAAATCGATAAAAAAAGGCAACATACAGAAATATTGGACCGTTTGGCGTGATCTACACCCCTAAATTGTCAAAATTACGAGCTTATATAGGCCAAACGGCCCAATATTTTAGTAGATCGCGTTTTTTTTATCGATTTTGTGATCAAAATATCTTACGACCTAAGTAGAAACAAATGGATATTTACTTTTTTTTAGTACCTTTTTAAATATACGAATTTTTTTTTTTACTAAAACATTAGTTAATATAATTAATTAACAATCGTTTCACTGTAAACTTGACATAATTAGCTTTAAAATAAAGTAGAGTTTGTTATTGTTAAAATCATTTAAAGAGAACTTTAAAAGGAATAAACTGAGAGTGCATGGTACAGACCCATTTTTATCGAATTATTAACATTCGCCTGAAACTTCGTAAATAGTTCCATCTCATCGTAACCTACAACTATTTTATTTACAAAAACTCTAGGAATTGGGGCGTTTCCAATCTGGAGGGGGGTAAACTTTGTCTATTTAATTAGGTAGTAAAAACTTGTAAATACACAATTTCTTTCTACTTGGATCGTAAGATAATTTGATCGCTAAACAGATAAAAAAAAATGGTGGCCTACCAATATATTAGACCGTTTGGCGTGACCTACACCTCCAAATTGTCAATATTATATAGGCCAAACGGCCGAATATTTTTGTAGGCCACCTATTTTTTTTATCGATTTTTTTATCAAAATATTTTCGAAAGCAAATGGATATTTACATATTTTTAGTACCTATTTTTTTAAGGAAATTTCTTTATTATGATACATTACAATATGTCACATTCAAGGACAATAGTAATAGTGATAAAGAGTAGCTCATTCATACTATGCACAATAAATAAAAATAAATAAACAGCTGTATAATAATACTATTGAAACTAAATGTATATAAACTAAAATATCCTAAACTAGAAAAAAATAAACTAATCTAACAAAATAAATACTGAAATATAGACATGGTTTTATACAATATTTACAATATTAATTCACGCAAGGTCTCCGAGCCTCTCGGAGATCCCAGCGTCTTTCACTCAGCCGCATCACTGGTATTACCAATGGAGGCTGAGCAGAGGCACTATAACCAGTACCTATTTTTTTTTTTTAATGAGAAATATTACGATCTATCTCAGTTAAGGACACTTATAATAGAGTTCAGAGAGTACATTCATACCGTATATACAGAAATATAAATAAATAAAGTAATAACAAAAGAATAAGAAAAAAAAAAGAACAAAAGAGAAAATATATATATATATATATATATATATATACATAAGTAAGTAAAAATAGAAAAAAAAGTAAAACAAACATCTTAGATACAAGCATACCTATATACACTATTTACAATCAGCCAGGTGATCTCCAAACCAATCTTGTCCTCCTACACGTGGAGGCAAAAGCGCGGCTTAGGAGATCCCTAAGCTTCTCCCTCAGCCACTTAAGTAGAATTTTCTTAAATAAAATATTTGTAGGTTACGATGAGACGAAGCTATTTAGGAAGTTTCAGGTGGATGTTAATAATTTGATAAAAGGGGGTCTGTACCACGGACTTTTAAGGTGTCGATATGAGATGCGCTATCTCTTGCAATTATTATATTTATAATAAAAATAGATAATAAAGATGGCGACCTCGACACAAAGAGCCGACCTCGTGGTGCATCAACCCGCTCCCTTTGATTGTTGACCTCTAACAAGGTCATCGCTAAAATGCCAATTCTCAGCGGGCTCAGCCATGCCTGACCGTGTTCCAACAAGAAAGGAAACCAAGGCCTTCTTCATCTGTTTCTCTGTCTGGGCTGTAATTATTTATTTTAAGTTTTATTATAGAACACGGAGCTTCTCTCAACCATCAAAGCGTGCCCAGTTACTGAACAACTGAGAAAGATTTTGGTCAGTAATTTAAAAAAAAAAAATTATTAACGATATTCAATGTGTGTTATTTATTAATGATATTTCCTTGATACGTCCTTCTGACCTTTATACCCCTTTCCACAAATCGGCCTCATTTCAACACTCCTTATTGTCCGCTCCACCACCTTTTGGAATTCCATCCCACTTAAAATCCGCCATGCACCATCCTTATCCATATTTAAAACCCTCTTATTACAATTCCTCCTTACAATACAATCAGACGCTGGGTAGCCATTTATCATGTATAGCATATATGTATATAATCTCGTCTATATGTATATTCTCTTTAATTTTCACCGATCAATCTACATCTTAAGATTTAGATTATATAGGACTTGTATAATGTTTACAATACTATTATTGTATTCTTTGAAAATATTAAAGTACATATGTAAATCATTTAAAGTAAATATTTATCCACTCTTTTATTATTATTTTTTTCATTAATACAATGGTATGACAACAAAAGTAAGTTGTTATTCATTCCAAATCTCACTTACAATTCCATAGTTTATTGTTTTTAGTAACTATCTTGCAGTATTAGGTCCTTATTGCTCATATTATGTCTTTAATATATCAATATTTAATATATCTGTTATTACTTATTTTAAGTTTTTTTTCATTGTAATATACATTTTAGCCAGATGTTATGTTAATTTTTATGTACAATATTGTTATTCTCAAGGGACTTTGCCCCAGAATAAAGTTGATTCTTCTATTCTATTCTATTCTATTCTATTTAATGATGTGCATCATTGCACAGGACGCAGAAGATTCTGGATATATGTTAAGAAAATTAAATGAGTAATATCAGCAGTGGGGACTAGTTATTAATGCAGAGAAAAGAGAACACATGACATTCAATAATGAGGATATACAACTGAATCCAGGATGGGTTCTAAAAGGAATTAAAAACTTTAAATATCTTGGTTCCATAATTGAAATAGATAGTGCATGCAATGTAGAAATAAAATGAAAATTTTCAAATGGCAAAAAGACCATATCAATGGTCTGGGGCTCAACTGGATATTATGGAACCAAAACATTATCCCCCAAACAAAAAAAAAAAGAAACATATATAATAGTAAAGTACTCTGCATTATAACATATGGGTCAGAAAGTTAGACCATAAAAAGAAACCTGAGGAAGAAACTTCTAGCCATCGAAATACGACCATCAGAGAAAATACGGAGGCTAAAAGAACCATTCTGGAAGAGATTCAGATAAAACGCCTGAACTGGTATGGACATTTGAAAAGAATGCCAGAAGGAAGACTACCCAAAGAAGTCCACATATGGAAAACTAGGGAAAGAAGAAGGCGAGGAAGATCTGGGATAACGAAGTGGAGGAATCAATGATGGGTCATGGTCTACGGGAAGAATGGACCTTAGATAGGACATTATGGAAAGAAACCATCCAAGGTTTAGATTAAGGAAACCCACTATTAGTGGAAACTCATGATAAAAAAAAAAGAATATATTTACAACTGTATTAAAGAAATACATCTAGTAAGTTTGTACAAATGGATATAATGACGTGAAAATACTTGTTGAGAAACCACTCACTAGTAGCATTCTAATAATATGACTACATTGGGTGATCTCGGGGCCACCTGCTTTTCAGACACCTCGAAGGGTTATCAGGAATTGAAGTAAGATCAGAAACGAGAGGATTAGGATGTTTCTGAAGTTTATTATGGAAGGATAGGTATCTGGATTGGGACAAATCGGAAACGTAACGAAGATTAAGATCGTTATGAATGATTTTATTTGTGACAAAGTAGGAATTGAGGATTTTACAAAGGATTTTGGATTGTAAGGATTGGTTACGATTATGGTTTAGTAGAGCCCCATAGTTCAATTCCGAGGTCTGGAACTGAATACACATAAAAAAAAAATCTGATGCGTACAACACACAACTTTCACTTATATTTCTACTTTGAATAGAACTTGTTTTCTGACAATTTTGATTAATTATAAAATTTATGAAGTCCACTTTTAACCTACCTATAGCTTAAATTTACAGATAACAAATCATTAATTTGTATTTTGTAAAATGTAATTTGTATCAATAATAAACCATTAAAATAACAAAACCCTATTAATTATATCAATGATAGACAATAAAAACTTCGGCACTCCATCTGTTTTTATGAGTTTATAAATAAAATAAAATGTAGAAACATCTCTTAATCCACTAATTCGGACAAAACAATTTTCGTTAAAGTTTTGATCAGATACCCACGTAAAAGTTTAAAAAGAGCGATAATATCGATTTCACTGATATTCAATGAACATTTTTGTTAAAAATAACACTAGAATTTTTAAAATTCAGAATTACTTGAAAAGTTTAGCGAGGAACGACCTTTATACTAAGCTGTTATTAGACAACAAAGATAATGATACTATCGAAAGTAGTTATAAGGAACCGAGTTCCCTTTGATCCAGCATTGACACGAACTATAATTGGAAAAAACAACGGGAGCTTTCAACATGTGTAATTATATAAATTGAAGCCGATGTCAGTTGCAGAACACGCATTTCTTCCTATCCGTCTTTTATCTTAATCCGTTTTCGCTATTTTTTTATTCCTTTTAGGTAATCTTGGAGATAGGTGCAGACTTTGGATTCTGATTGGGAAGGAGGAGGCAATGGAGCGGAAAAAAAAGGAGGGAGTTTTTATAGATTTCAAATATAATATTGAATATAAATTTTCCAATTAATCTAAAATTTTACGACTTATAACAGGAGCTCCCTGGTACGTCAACAACAAAGCTTTACATAACGACTTACGACAACCAACTATAGACCAACACATACGTACTCTCTACTCTCGTTTTCATCTCAAACTATATAGACACAGAAACAGGCTTATAAACGACATGACGACTGACATGCCCATCAGGAGGAGACTGAAAAGGAGCTGGATGAGAGAACTCCTCACCTAAATCAAATATGTAAATAATGACCAGGAAGAGGTGCTGTTGGGTACAATCCTTCCTCATGTCTTTAATGCCAATCTCATCATCAAAACACATCTGCTGATTGTCAATACCATGACAGGTGCGGATAAACAGTTAAAGAGAAAAAAAAAATTCTTTATATGTATACTTGTAAGAACTTTTATTTTATTTTTTGTTATACTTATTATTCCCAGTTCTGCCATAAATACTGTTACAAAAGTTATATATATGAAAAAAAAGCTTTCGGGCTGAAGCCTCTCCCTCCCCCCAAAAAATAAAATCCTGGATCCGCTAGTGACTGTTGCAAAAGTTGAACTTTGTTTACATCCTTGGGTATTATTTAGATAATCCTTACCTCTATCAGGTTATTTTCTTTACATGTCAGGATAGTAATCCCAATTAGTTTGTATTTTTCTTTCGCTCTGTTAACATGGAGTGGGGTGATAAAGAAAACCAAAATGGCTGTGATCGCCTTACACAAAGATGGAAAATGTAGGTCAGATATTTTCAACACTTTGAAACCTTTGGGTATCAGCCGTATGTTCGTGTACCGAACTAAAATTAGATACAATAAGACCCTATTTGCTGACGCGGACCACTAAGGAAAAACTTTTTATAGCCAAAAAAATCCCAGATTATTTCGATCTATTTTTTTTTCCATATAGTTCCTAAACGATGCAACAAAGCAAAAAACCTTTCCTTTCATAGATTAAATAAAGTTAATTTGATCGTCGAACGATTTCCTTTACTTAATGATTTGGTTAAGTGGTATATCGTTAACCACGGTCAACGAACGCCGATTTTTACCAAATTCGTGAAATACATACAAATTACTATAAATGGCGCTGCAGCTTGGGAATGAGTTCTCTAAGAGAAAAATACACAGAATAAAAGTTATAGAACATTGAATTCCGCGTCCACTGAGTACTAACAGTTTTAATATAAATCAATTATGTTTCTAGAATCGGGATTCTTTTATTCTTCATGAAAGTTTTTACATATCTGAATTCTTATATAGAATCACGGGCGGATTTACGAGGGCGGCTTTCGGGCTGAAGCCTCCTCCCCCCCAAAAATGGTAAAATATAACCATGTTTTATGGAAAAATATATAAAAAAATTATCTCTTAAAGTATTATTGTTCGTGTAATTACATTTAAAAGGACTTATCACTTAAACACCATTTCATATAGGTAGTTAGTTTCTTTCTTTTTTTTTCCAAAGTGATTATCGTCATTTTTATGAAAAAAAAAAGCTTTCGGGCTGAAGCCCCCCTCAAAATCAAATCCTGGATCCGCTAGTGTATAGAATAGAATAGAAAATCATCTTTATTCTGGGACTAGGTCCCTTAAGAATAATAATATTTTTTAAACCAATTGACAATAAATCTGACCAGATGACCTATTATAATAACGAGTAATAAATCTATAATATCGAGTAGTACAATCTAAGTAATAAAATGAGTATATACATAGTTTTGGAGGGTATATTAAGGACAGGAGATGGGTACAAGGGTACAATATTATAATTTTGGTACAAAAAACAACTAATAACTAAATAAAATTGGAAAAAATAATGCTAAAGAATCCATAGGTAACCAATTTTAGTGCTACAATATAATAAAAAAATAAAAATAAGAACATAAGAAAATAACTTGAGTAAATAAATGATTTATATATGTTTCTTAAGTCGTTTAAGTGAAAACATGTGAAAGTATTGTGATTTACCTATGACGCAATAGATTACGAGCAGAAAAAGAAAAAAACAAACACATCCGTATATTTACATACACTCATAGAGAGGAGAATGCAGAAGATAAGTAAAAAATAAAATACTTTTAAATAAAATAAAATAAACTTCAAAAAATATATACAAGTTAATAAATAAAAACTTTGGCCACATTTTACGCAATGAATTTTCCGTTTCGATCCTCAAGTTACTGGTCTAATATTCTTTACATCAGCAAGTAATAATTTTTTCAGGTAGACCCGACTGGCAGACTCATTTTTTAAATATAAATGTTATATGAGAAGGAGTTAATCGGAGGGGGGGGAGGGGAGGGAGGGTGCGGCCAAATAAATACTAAATTAAAATATAGTAATTATTTAATTTTTGCCGACGTTTCGACCCACTTTGCAGGTCGTCTTCAGGGCGTAGGATGTAGCACTGCGGGAGGCAGTTGAAACATTGATTAACTCCTTCTCATATTATATCAACGGTCAACTATCTCTACACCATTATAAATGTTATAAATATTTTTAAAAAATCCTTTTAAAGTTTTAATCAAATAATGTCGATTTTTTCTTACAGACTCTCGGACTAAAATTAATTTTCCACTATTCTTCAAGCGTAAAATATTAAATTATACCGAATTTCTTGACCATCGATTTATAGCTCTCTTCTCCAATATGTTTTTCTTTTTCTTTTATGATTTAAAGCGATTACCAAATATGCAGCTGCCGCGACTGTTTTTAATGACGTGATGTACCAAACTGAAGTTGCCTGAATGAAATCGCTTTAGTCGCATGCTACACAAGTGTACGACAAAGCTCATGCGGCGTGGGGCAACAAATTCCGCATGCGACATCAACTGAATTTTGTGCCACATAGTCGGACGGCTACAATAGGCAACACTAGGAAACAAATATCAAGCAACATTTCGTTCAATTGTGGTATTCCGCATTAAAATATCGCTCTAATAATATCCAAAGCCTCTTGGAGACAAAAATACGGGAAGGTAGGTTAGCCGGATGTTGCAAAGAGATAGAGGATGGAGGTGAAGGTTGAGGCCAGGGATGTCTCTTATCGATAAGGAACCGACGTCACTTCCTGCCCTCAACTCTCAATTTTAGAAACCGTCTCGAAATAGCTTGCAAATATTTTGCTTTGGAAATTTATCGACAAAATATATTGCTATGTTTCTGGATGTTCACTTTTCTAAGGTGGGCAGGACGTTGCAGAGCCGGCATTTATATTATTTATTCTTAGTTGGTGGGGTTTTAAGGCTTAAAACTATGAGCTCATCAATGCCTGTGTTTAATTTTGTTTATCGCTGAACTAGTTTTAAATTTGGTTTAACAGATTGTTTAATTTTAAGAAATGTAACACTAACTTGGATGTTTGGTATTAACACTCATTAAAAAAAAATGTTATGTATCTCAGAACAAACAACCCAAACACATAATCTTCCTCCTGCCTTCGTTTTAGTCAGGTGATTATCTTGATTCTCTTTTAACTCCCCTATTTAGTATAAACTAAGAAAACGAAAATCTTATTTTGTAAAGTATATCTCAATTACTACTTAACACAAACAAATTAAAAATTTACATTACTCTCTCAAACCCATCCAATCCTTTCAATACAAAGTCCTTCGAACAATAGTCAATGCACGTCACAAAGAAAACCTTACACAAAATCCTACCCATCATCCTAATCCCTTAGCACAATCTCTCTCCAGCTCCAATCATCCATATAATCCCCCACAAAGGTTGAAACGGCAATGGCCCCGAGATCTTTTGTAAATACGCTATTGGAGTTCTGGCAGTGGCCAGCTTCTCCGTCCGCCTAGTCGTAAGTGTATGCGGTTTTAGCTTTCCCATAGTGACTTTCAAACAGTGATACTACTGGGAGAGAAGCGCTGGGATCTCTTTGAGCCTTGCTTTGCCTCTCACTCGATAGCGGCAAAGCATGGTTCAGGATTCTCTAGGCTGAATGTAAATATTGCATATAGGAATGAGTGTGGCAAGTAATTTTTTTTTCTTTTATTATCCTTTTAATGTATTTTTTTTCTTTTTACAAGTATCCTACATTTTTGTTATTATTTTATTGTGTATATTTTTACATTTTTGTTATTATTTTATTGCGTATATTTTTACATTTTTGTTATTATTTTATTGTGTATATTATTACATTTTTGTTATTATTTTATTGTGTATATTTTTACATTTTTGTTATTATTTTATTGTGTATATTTTTTACTTAGATGTTTTCTTTTTATTTATTTTTTCTCAATTTGTATATGAATACAAATACATAAGTATGAATGTATACATAGAGCCTTTATGCCCAATGCCTTTGATTGTGGCAGATCGTATGATTATTCTTCCAATAAAAATATTATACCTTAAAAAAACATACTCTTAAATAAATAATATAATATTATTCTTATATAACCTGTACTAGTCCTGTCACATCTTCCTCGTTGGAATGGCTTCGCCACCAAGGACAGAGCTTTCTGATTCATCACCGTTTCCATCCTCCGACCTCCGTCGTGATCGGCGCCCATTAAAGGACCTAATTAGAGCTTTTCGAGTTGCATTATAACAACCCCGGCCTTCCTTCAACTAACGAGGTCAGTGTATTGTCGTGCCTTTCATCACTTTTATTTACGACCGTGAAATATTTCTTATAAATATTCGAGTCTTAATTTTTTTTTTTTTCAACGGCTACCGCATTTTTATAGAAAAATCAACTTCAAATTTGCTTTTCGATTGAAGTATATACAAATTTTGTATATACAAATTGAAGTATATACAAAATATACAAATTTTGTGATCAGTACTGTAAAATATAATAATAAATTTTCAATCTACCTGAACCGAAAACAATCGACTGAAATTCTATAAATCGGTTGTTATCGTAAAACTATTAATAACTTTAAAAAGATTAAAAAATCTTAATACAAATAATCACTGTACTCGTTATACAAATACAAATAATCACAATACAATACAAATAATACAAATAAATAATAATTATAGTAAAATAACGTAATACAAATAATCACTGTACTCCAGCAATCTTTTGGGAGCAAGCCTGATGATAGATACACAATTCATAAGAAATTTTAGAAGAATAAGGAAATATAAAACGCTGGATTGGATATATATAATAAAACCACAAGTTATCAACGTTAAGAAATATTTAAGATAAGATATCCTGTTTTTTACGCGATTCCCTCATTCATACAATTCAGGATTTCATCATCGGAAGAAACTGCTGGGATCTTGAAAGTTAGACCAAGGAAGGTTATCAAGAGATCCGCCATTTACATTTCGTAAACAGGAAATCATATTCAGATTTTGTAACGGAAGCTAAGCCATTGCGGAGCGGAAAAAAACAAGTATGATTACAAACTGCAGATTATGCATTAAATGCAAAGAATAATAATACGACAGATTCAAAATTATGAGTTATATAAATTTTAATATTTATCCAAGATGGAGTCTAGTTTCAAGATCCCTCAGATATTCCACTACGTTAATATCTAAAATAATTAAATACGTAATACAGACAATATCTTCTGCTAAATGATATACAGCTTTTTTGTTTCCAACATAAAAACTGAAGTACATTAAAAGTAGTTAAATTTAAAATTTTACTCCCCTCCTCTCTTCTTCTACTACTGATAATAGATAAGGAGAAAAATCATATAATAATAAAACATGTTTAGAAAAAATACGCAATTTAAACTAGCCTTGTATACAGTGGCTCACAGTGAAATTGATAAGTCCTGTAGAAAAATAAAAAAAAGTCTTAAATGGTTACAGCTAACAAATAAAACCGGAAACTCTTCAGCTGATTTATTTATACAAGTATAAGTACAAACTAAATAAAATTAAAATATTCAACTGATTATTAAAAAAAAATTTTTTATATTTTTATTTATTATTTTTTTTTATTTAGAAAAAATACATTTTGCCTCAATTAAGGGCATTGAGTATTTAGGATGAATGAAGTAACAGAATAAATCGATCATGATACAACATTAAATAAAAAAATAAATAAATAATGTGTTCATACTTATTTACAATATTTACAGTCTGCCAAGGGAGCTCCGAGTCGGGCCTTTTCCCCACGTGTGGAGGATAAGGCAATACTCCAAGAGATCCCAGCGCTTCTCTATCAGCCGCATCACTAGAATGGGAATCCAGTGGAGACTAAGAGAGGGCACTAAAGCCACATACACTCATAACCTGATACACGGTGGGCCAGACCCCCTTACCATGCACCCCCCCCCACATCCCTATAAATTGCATATCGTTGTGTTCCTTGTGACAATTTATTAAAAAAAAGCCAATGTTCCCACAAAAAAAAGTGAACGAACTGCCCCAAAATGGCGTCCAAACATGGCGGATTGACGACTTTGACTTTAGTTAGTTTTTTTGTTACTGAGAATCAGCATTTGGCTTAATTTCATTATAGTTGGTCTTTTATTAAAGCCTGGATAGTCAGAGAATAATAAAACATGAAAAAATATTAAAAACTAATTGGCTTAGGCATTAAAAAAAATCGGTAAAGTCAATTTTTTTTACAAAAAAATTTTCAAGTTGAAAATCAAGCGTCGTTTGTAATTAAACGGTCAACAATAATGCAAAACGTGCTGAAATAAAACATCTGGAGAATACATTTCTCTTTCTAAAACACTGATTACTTTTTAAAATATTTGAAGTAGTTCCGTATAAAATGTACTTAAGCGGCAGAAAAGCGCTACTGGCGTGGGTGCCTACAGGCCTCTACCACACCACTCAGTACTCATAAATGGCTTAGTTATAGTGCTATAATAACGTTTTTGTTATATTGTATTGATTATATTAACGAACAAATATTAATACAATAATTTAATTGTAAAAAATTATTTTTTTTAAATTTATTATTTTTGTTTTTATTTTTTATTATTTTTTTTTTAAATTTAATTTCATTTATTCTATACGGAGATCGCTTAAGAAGGCCTCTATTATAAAAATTATAAAATTATAATAATAAAACTTAATTCAAAAATACTTTGCAGAATATCTTGATTTTTTTATTTAATATTTGCAATTTAACATTTTGTTTTATATATTTACTGATTCTTAGAGGTAATTTAAATTGTATATACTTCCCCGGAAATGAGTCATATTAATATCTGTTTTATAAACTAAAATAATATATACCTAATCTGAACTGTTTTTAATGAATAGGTGATGGATTGTTTAGTAAAATTGTTATATCGCTATTAAAAAAACCATTTTTATTTCCTTTATTTTATTCGGAAGTTGGACCATATCATAAAAAATTGGAACTTTTAATATTAAAGTGCATTATTCCCTCTGCACAAAAGAAATATGGAAAGGGCGAAGCTATAAGTTCTTATAGGTAACTGGAACTGATTGTTAGTATTTGGTCTCAAAATAAGGGAAAACGCGAAATTGAACCCAAACATTGGAAAAATACATTAAGCGAACGACAGTGCCAAAATTTCGGAAAAGAAAACAAGGATCAGTATCCATTATATGGCTAAACGAATATATAGTAGACAGATGAACAGAATATTTCAAGATGCTGCTAAAAGAGGGTAAAAATGCTTGATGGGTTTGGATGATGTTAAGCAGGTTTATTATGGTGAAGAACACTTTTTCAGCAAGAAAGATTTGCTCTAAGCAATTGGCAAGCAGGTCTGGAGGAAGTAAACGAGGTTGATAATGGTGTAAACCACTTTATTTTAGATTGCTATTGAAGTTGTACATTGGGACTATCTTCACTTTGAAGCAGGTTATACAGAGGTTTATCGATAAAAGGAAATAGCTCTGCTCCTGTTTAGTGCAATTGCAAAAGATTTTTGAAGGAATCTGAAAGGAAAACGAGCTTTTGTGAAAGACTAGTAGATATTCGATCAATCCAAAGTGTGAGGCACTAAGCAGATAGAGAACCATTTTTCTTTCTCTGTGGACTTCTCTATAACCTACCTTAAAGTGAAGACAGTCCCAATTTGCAACTTATGTTCCAATGTGCAACTTGAGTTTCTCAATCCATATCGCTCAGGCAATCGACAATATTTCTAATTTTAGCTTATACGATTCTTGAGTAGACTTTCTTTGGTACTATAAACAGTAAGGAATCTCGAATAACATTTCCTAGTATCTCATTTCCTGTAAAGGGACAAAACTACAGTCCTTTCATATAATTTTCTAATACATTTGTGGCCTTTGTACGCACAACATTTCGGGTTACTTCGTCCAGACCAGCTGACTTGCCAATTGCCTAGAACAAATCTTTCTTGCTGATGAAATGGTCTTCACCATAATAAACCTACTTAATATCATCCAAACTGATCAAGCATTTTTACCCCCTTTTAGCAGAATCTTGAAATATTCTGTTCATCTGTCTACTATATATTCGTTTAGCCATATAATGGATACTGATCCTTGTTTTCTTTTCCGACATTTTGGCACTGTCGTTCGCTTAATGTATTTTTCCAATGTTTGGGTTCAATTTCGCGTTTTCCCTTATTTTGAGACCAAATACTAACAATCAGTTCCAGTTACCTATAAGAACTTATAGCTTCGCCCTTTCCATATTTCTTTTGTGCAGAGGGAATAATGCACTTTAATATTAAAAGTTCCAATTTTTTATGATATGGTCCAACTTCCGAATAAAATAAAGGAAATAAAAATGGTTTTTTAAATAGCGATATAACAATTTTATTAAACAATCCATCACCTATTCATTAAAAGCAGTTCAGATTAGGTATATATTATTTTAGTTTATAAAACAGATATTAATATGACTCATTTCCGGGGAAGTATATACAATTTAAATTACCTCTAAGAATCAGTAAATATATAAAACAAAATGTTAAATTGCAAATATTAAATAAAAAAATCAAGATATTCTGCAAAGTATTTTTGAATTAAGTTTATTATTATAATTTTATAATTTTTATAATAGAGGCCTTCTTAAGCGATCTCCGTATAGAATAAATGAAGTTAAATTAAAAAAAAAATAATAATGAAAAAAAACAAAAATAATAAATTAAAAAAAAAATAATTTTTTACAATTAAATTATTGTATTAATATTTGTTCGTTAATATAATCAATAAAATATAACAAAAACGTTATTATAGCACTATAACTAAGCCATTTATGAGTACTGAGTGGTGTGGTAGAGGCCTGTAGGCACCCACGCCAGTAGCGCTTTTCTGCCGCTTAAGTACATTTTATACGGAACTACTTCAAATATTTTAAAAAGTAATCAGTGTTTTAGAAAGAGAAATGTATTCTCCAGATGTTTTATTTCAGCACGTTTTGCATTATTGTTGACCGTTTAATTACAAACGACGCTTGATTTTCAACTTGAAAATTTTTTTGTAAAAAAAATTGACTTTACCGATTTTTTTTAATGCCTAAGCCAATTAGTTTTTAATATTTTTTCATGTTTTATTATTCTCTGACTATCCAGCTTTAATAAAAGACCAACTATAATGAAATTAAGCCAAATGCTGATTCTCAGTAACAAAAAAACTA